ATTTCAACACTTTTATATTTATCTCAATAGTCATCTCCACAAACGCCCACTTACCGCCCTAAATTTTAAAATTTTTTAAACCATAGGCCTCAAAATGAGACGTTCAACTAACGATGCTATCCTTTTTATCCGATAAAAAAAACTTGAAATATTCCGACACAACTACGTCTCCATTTTGGGAATGCAAATAGTCGATATTTACAATTGATGTTATAATATATATATAATTTTTATATAAGATAAAATATAAAAAAATATGTTTCCGGATTGGAACCGAAAACATTAAAACAATAAGTATATATTAATCCGCTGGCTTATAGATTTGAAGTGACAATGTCAGCCTTTAAAGTAATTTTATGTTACATAAATATATTTATTATAAATTATAAATGATTATATTATTAAAATAATATGGAAGACAAGATTTAATTATATATTCTATCATAAAAAATTTTTGCAATAAGTGGTATTTTTCTATTTTGTTTCAAAATCTTAATATATATCTCATATTATAAAATTGTTTTAATATATATATATATATATATACAAAAATCAAATATTCAAATTTAAAGTAAGATAAAAATAAATATTTTTATAGGAACAATAATAAATCGTTTAATTTGCAAAACTATATCTCCATTGCTGTTTAATATTGACATGAACAAAATTATAAAAGACACACTGGTGACTGCAAATCTGTTAGAACTAAGGTCTAATCATTCGTATCATTTAGAGACTAGGGTGATATCCTATACGGATGACATAGCGATGATTACGAAAAGTTTGGATGAAGCCCAAAATTTGATATACTAAATTCCTTAAGCCTGGCCTGAATATTAATTTTAACAAAACAGTATTATAATGCTTTTGTGTTACTCAAAATGGTTAAGGTGATGAAATCCTTTAAATATCCTGGTGTAACCATTGGCAACAGAGGTGGTTGATAAGAGGATAAAATCCGTAAACATAATGCCAGGGCATCTTTTTATATTTTTCAAACTGTGGAAAATTAAAGAAATATTTGTGTTTATAAGACTCCGTTTTCAATTCAACCATCATTCAAATTCTCCTCTGGTGGAGACATCTAGTAGATTACCAAAACAGAGACCAGAAAATTGCAAACGTTCGTAAATAAATGTCTAAGAACAATAAACGGCATCTTTTTTACCCTAATATTATTTAAAATGAAAATCTTTAGAAGAGATCAAACCTTTTACATGTGACATTAAAATGGAAGCCCCTTACTTTCTTTGCCCACACTTTGAGAGATCACAGTAACAATAGCCTGGTTATCGACGCCATTAGCTGATTATACTCCTTTGAAGGGAAAACATATCAAATGTATAAGACATTTTGGTTCTAAAAAGTTATGAAAGATATAATGGACCTAAACTTAATTATGAAACAGTTCCTGAAATTAAATAAAAACAAAAGATCTCTAAAAATCAACCCTTTAACTCTTCCATTATACAGGTTTTAATCTTTCTTCTTTCTGAACTCCGACTCTTATTTCATTGATACTAGCCCTTATTTCACTGATTTTTCTTCATTCTATGCTTTATGTTTACATTCAACAGGTACTAAACTTATCATAGATATAAAGTATTTTAAAATTAAAATAGGCCCTTCCCTCGCCTATAAAGTAATTGAATACATCAATTCATGAGTGTGGGCAGTGTTTCTCTGCCCCTTTCCTTTTAATCAGCCCACAGACGTTTAAGCAATAGTTCTAGGACTATTGCGCATACAAGTACGAGCGGTTGCCCACAAACGTGTGAAGGGCTCCTCATTTTTTCCCCCTTAAATCAAATACCAAGTTTGATAGATTTGAGGAAAACCGAGCTTAGCTCTGTTGTATCCACAACTATAGGGCAAAACGTTTTAATTACGTATCAGAGATTAAAATTGCAATTTTTTTAGGTTGGTTATAAGAAAAATAGGTTTGTATAAAAAAAATTAAGTAATAAAATGTTTTGATTAATAAATTTTAACCTTTTCGAAATTCTATAAAGGTAATTCAAAATAATAGTTATATTAAACTTAAAATTTGTAATGCTTATAACATGCTTCCAAATTAGTTTTATTTTTTTTATGAAAATATATAAAATATTTCTTTATTGTAAAACAAAATGCTATTCACTTAAAACGTAATAACCTATAAATAAAATAATTATCTTCATAATCTTCGATGTTATATTAATGTAAGTTGTATACTGATAAATAAAAAGATATAAGTTAATAAATAATACTAAGTTTAGGCCTCATTTATAGTAATGCGTTATATTTAAGCGTGGCCTTATTACAAAAATAAGTCAATGGTATAAATTTATAAATATGAAGCGTTATGATGATAACTCTATAATAAATTTGAAAAACATATGTTGCGATGCTTATATAAAATATATGGATATGGTTATAAAAATAAGGTGACGGGGCTTCATTTACGGGTAGTAGGAGACACTCGCCACCCATTCCACGTGAGTATGTATGAGCCGGTTAATTAGGAAAAACTTAGGAATAAAACGCAAAATTATTTAATATTAAACGACACGTATTTTATAAAAAAAACTTTATTTAAATTATATCAAGTACAAACAAATTAAATAATTAATCAAATTTATAAACCAAAAATATAAAATGATCATAAACATACAAAATAGTCCCTTTTATAGTGAAAATAAGAAGCGCAATTATAAATTAAAATAAAATTGGCGTAAAGTAAAAAAAAAGGTTTTCGTGAAAGGGAGTTGTGTTAGTTTTATTTTACATAATTGTGGATAAAACTAACTTCCCTACACTTTTCGGAACACAAATTATATCTCCGGATTCACAACTATCTCCGGAATGTAATTATCTAATTTATAATTAATGAATACATCCAAAATGGGAAATATTATCTCTACCAAGAAAATTTATAAGGATTTTCAATCTGACACAGGCGCGTACGCAGGAATTTGGTCTGGGGGGGGGGATAATAAATTTTTTTAAGAAATATTATTGCGCATAAATTTATTAGGACTAATAACTTTTCTAATACACAATTTTAAATTAATGTGAATTATAAAAAAATTATATATATAAACCAGCATATAATAAACTATAAAATAAATGTGAATTAAAAAATATTAAACGGATATAAATGGCGGCATTGAAAAACTATAAAATAAATGTGAATTATAAAATATAAAGTGAAAATATCCACCATATGAATCACTTAAATGAACCAAAATAGAAATTTGAATTTCTTGAGCCTTTAAAATTTATATATAAAGTATAAAAAATTTAAATGTTGGAAATATAAATTAATACACAAAAAGTTTCTTAGGAATAATTGTATTTTGTATGTTTTGAGCTAATTTTTCAATTATCTCATCCTAGCTTGGCGTTATATTCCTATGAATATTCAAAAGATCCAAACCATTCAATCTACTTTCAGAAGTTTTACTTCATAGGTATGTTTTTCAGAGACTTACAGGTCCGACCCGGGCCGAGCCCAAATTTTTTTTAAAAAAAACACACGGACTCGGCCTGATTTTTTTTTAAAAAAAATATCCGGGCCGGGCTATATATTTTAACCAAATATTTGAAATTGCCATTATTTGCTATAAAAATTAAAAATAAATATAATGCATTTTAGAAAAATTCGGGTCGGGCCTGAATTCAAAAAAGCCGGACCGGGCCTGAAAATATTAAAACCCGGGCAGGGCGGAAAAAAATTTTGAAAAAAAAATCCGGGCCGTGCCCTGCAAAAGGTACTTCTGCAGGGCTCTGTTATTCTTCTTAAAAAAGAGAGTGTTCTCTCATTAGTTTACTAATGGGAAGAGTTGCTAATATATATAAACCCTTTTAATACATTGGGAATATAATCAAAAATGTGTTTAAAATAATGCAGAGCATCCATAACATTTTTTGGGACTATATCAACCATAGTTAATCTTATAAAAGTTATTCAGCTAATAAGGCAACATAAGATACTTTAACATCTTAATGATAAAAATCTAACAATTATTTTTTTTTCTATCACAATCTGAAAAAGGTTGGGAAGGCTTTTGTGAAAGTAATATTTGCAGATTGGTAAGTGCTGCATGATGAATTAAAAACCATTCATTTATTTGGGTTATAAATGTATCTGTATCTCGGATATACTCGTCTACTATTCCTATATTAATGTTTTAACGATGAGCTTGCCTTGCTACAAGTCGAGGGAGACAAATATTAAACACGTATAGCTCTGCCTTTGACTCATAATAATATATAAAATATGAAATTCTTCATCAACATTAGCTCTAATTTCCTTGAGTTCTAATAAAATGCTCTCCGCTATTCTCATCTTCTTAATCAAGTAAATGTCATGTTTTTGAAAAGTATTACATAAAATAGTTGTATAATTAAATAATACATTCTAATGAGAAAAAAATTTAAAATAAGTATTGAATCCAATAATTTTCTTGCTTCTGAGGAAATATTTCTTTCAAACCATTATGATATTTCAGTAATAGCATTAGTAATCGGCTCTTCTAACTCCATAAAAGCTATTACTGCTTGATGGCGGAGACTCGATCTCGTTGGACAAGCTTGCAATTTCTTTCTCCCTGTTAGACAAGGAGTTTAAGAGATAATTATTTTATGATTAGAAATTTAGATAAACATTTAATATTTGGAAATAATAGGTAAATATTACGCCAAGGAATGAGATAAGAATAAATATTAACAAATATAAATTAATATTAATAATAATATTTTGAAAAATATAATCCGGCATCTGCATATCCATATCAATATGTATGCTGCAAAACGAATCTATATAATTGAAAAATATTGATAAACTTTATTATATATGATGATTTTATTATATTTCAATTTAGAAAATTGAGAACTGATGGCCGTACCTACACGTCATTGTAGCTGTAATCTGTCTGGTGATCTAATTTTTAAATATGACAAGTTAATAATAAATGATAGGTGTACGTTATCCTTTACATTATTTCTAAAACATGCTTTCACGATTGGTAAGATTAATTGATGAAACCCAAATATCGTTATAATATAATAAACAATATAAGCAAAAAATTAACTTTATGGTTAAATTGTATGAAAAAATAGGCACACATGATGGTAAATTTCATTGCGATGAAGTTTTGGCTTGTTATTTACTAAAATGTCTTCCTGAATTTAAATCGGCCTATATAATAAGGTTAGTTTATTTTTATAATTTAAATTGGTCTATGTAATAAGGTTAGTTTATTTTTATAATTATATCATATTTTCTTAATCAGGTCAAGAGACACCCAACTTTTAGAAAAATGTGATGTTGTGGTTGATGTTGGTGGGGTTTATGACTATGACAAATTAAGATTTGACCATCACCAAAAGTATAATATGCTCAAAAAATACATCAGTTATATATAATATTTTTACATACCAGATATATAATAACTAGTAAATGAAAGTTAAAACACTAAATAGGCGTCTCAATCTAAATTACACTTAATATTCAATATATTTTTACTGAATATTTATCAATATTTAATATTGCTTATTACAAGAAGTTTTATTCAAATAATATTTTTTACAATTAATGAGTTCACTATAAGAATAATATGAAAACGAGCACAGATAAAACAATATAAATCAGTTTACAACTTTTATTTAATATAATTAATTATGCTTTATAGATATTTAAAATTAATCCTAAATCAGAGATCAGCATAACCCTTAAAATATTGGCAGAACTCTAATATTAAATGCAAGGAAGTAGCTTAAAATGATATCTAACTTGTAAGATCATTTACACATTGGAAGTTTTGTTTTATCAATTATATATTTATACTTTTTATAATTTATAATAAATTTTCCAATAGGCAACTTGCGGTCTATGTTTAGCAATTAAATTTTTAAAATTGTTTAAAACCATAATGCTAATTTATGATTTTTCATTCAAAAAAATAATTATATTAAAGACCTGCAGATGTAGCATTTGCACAGCCTGGCCTGGATTTTTTTCAAAAATTTTTTACGGCCCAGCCAGGGTTTTATTTTTTAAGGCCTGGCCCAGCTTTTTATAAAAAAAAAATTTTTAGGCCCGGCTTTTAAAAAAAATATATTATACTTATTTTTGAATTTTATAGCTAAAAATGGCGATTTAAAATATTTAGTTTTTAAATATACAACCCAGCCCTGATTTTTTTTAAAAAAATTTAAGGAAAAATAAAATATGGTCCGACCCTAAACCCAGGCTTATCCGGGCCTGCAGGTCTCTGAATTATACCTAAAACCAGGTTAAAAAAATTTGCCTCATCAATCTATGAAAATACTTTTACAGGATAGGCTAAAAATATCAGAGACATGCAGAGGTACCATTTGCACAACCCAATTTTTATCAGCCTAGGCCGAGTTATATTTTCAGGCCTGGCTGGCCCTGATTTTTTTAAAAAAAATTCTCTAGCCCTGCTAATTTTTTTAAAAAATATTTTTTTAATTTTTATGGCTAATATTGACGATTTAAAATATAGCCCTGGTATATTTAAAAAAATTTAGGCTGGGCCTATGGTATCTGAAAAATATATGAACTGGGTTGAAAAACTTTTTTTTATAGATCTTCACAGTTTTGGTTGGGATGTTCAAAATTCTAATATATATAACATTAGGAGATTATTAGGTTATTTATCAAAATCGAAGAGTGATTCAAAATATTTATTCCCTCTCTTTCACATGGCTTAAAAAATAAAGAGAGGAAAATAATTATTTGATAAAATAGTAAACCAGGTTTGTATAAAATAAAATAATTGTTATAAAATAATATATCTAAAATTAGAGCAAAGTTGCACTGTTATCACTTTTTGGCAGATTATCGATACCAGCAGGATATTGGCCAACACCACCGATACCAACAATACCAAAAAATTTTTTTTATTATATGTAGTCTTTTTTAATTTTTTTATTAAAATTAAAGAAAAATTAAAACCACCTTCTTTCTTTCTTATTGCTTTGGTAATTTTATAATTTTTTATTAATTTATGGCTTATTTAGTCGAAAATTTTCTTATAATAGTTTTTGTAGGTTACACAATTTATTCGAGTATCCTGGTATCGATAAGAATTGAAGTATTCTTTCGATATCGTCATTTGATACAAAGTATTGGTATCGATGCATCTCTAGTTTAGCATAATTACTGTTCCAAATTATAACTATCTTCACATTGCATTGAAACACAAATAAGGCATTCAAAGGATATTGTTCAAATTGACGCGATTTGTAGCGTTAAAAATGGGCCTCTAAGAACTCTAATCGAATATTTAGTATTTATTTTTGTACAAATCGAATAATATAATTTATTTTTTTAAAAAAAGTTACATTATATTGCAAAATTGAAATAATAAGGGCGCGTTTAAAATCAAAATTTTATTTAAAAAAAAAATTTATATAATGAAATTTTAGAAATCATATTGGGACACATAATATATAAATGTGAGAATCATTTTTTTGACTGCACCACCCTAAGAATAATCAATTGTAATTTGTTTCAAAATGAATTTATAAAAAAAAGACAAGGTTTTCCTAATTGTTTCTTCTTTTATAGATATGCTATTCGTAATCAATGCCTATAAAAATAGACGCTCACAGGATGTAAAAGAACGCTATTATATTATCTTTTCTCAAACTAATTGCATGATTTTACAATTTACATGAGTTTCAATTTAGTTTTAGGAATAAACAAGAAGTCGCTATAACAATCTTAAAAAATATATTACCGCATGTGCCAGAAAAAAATAAAATATTTGATTAGAGGGGCTTTAATTTTACTCTTTTTTAAAACGAATATTTGCAAATAATTCTAAAGCGAATAATTGGAATATTAATAATTTTCAAAAATTTACGAATAATACATAATTTAGATTTATAATTCGCAAAATTTTTTAAAGTTATTATTCGTATTCGATTCCAATTTTTGAATCGAATAACATTATCGAATAATTTTCGATAGGCTTAATTAAATTACACATTAGTATTACAAATAAGTTTGAGTTATTTTTGAATAATTTTCATTCTTTCTAATATTAAAAATAACCAAATGAATAATAATTTCTACATTAAAGTAAGCAATTTTTGTTTAGATAAAATTTTTAGACCATCTTGGGCTGATTATTTGCAATTTTATATATTTCTACCAACAAGAGTTATATGGAATCAAGAATATAAGAACTTCTATAAACGGATTCACTAAAATAGATTATGATGCTTCCAAATTGAGATTTACCCTGCGACTCAAAAGAAGTTTAAAAAAATTTCGTAGCCCTTTTGACGAAATTAAATTTAAAAAATTTGCAAATTGAATTTTAACTTTTTCAACAAATAACAAAAAGGTTTATTTATCTAAGAAAGGAAAGTCAATCATTATCTAGAAATAGTTTATCGGAATATATAAAAGAGTGATTTGAACTCAGTTCAATTATATCATATCAGAATGAATGAGAACATTAGCATATCTTTTTTACTATATTTTCATATAGTCCCATGATCTCAAAATCACGCATTCATGATAAGTGTGTGCTGTACATATGGAAGAAAGCAAAAAATTTACACATACCAAAACTGCAAAAACCTGGGAAATGTCGTTTAATAAGATAGCCTTTTTCTAACAATCCATAGTTAGATCGTTGATCCTTATCCCAAAAATTTTTTCCTCTTCTAATTTGAGTCTATCCTATCCCAGTGATTATTTTTTTAGAGATTAATCCAAGCAGACTTAGAAAGTCCAAACCTGATCCGAAATATTTTACAAAAAAATATTATGGGGAAATTTTGTTTATTTATTATAAATTAAACAAATAAAATTGTAAAATCATTTTAAAAATTAAAAAAGAAAATTAGGAAAGAAATATAATTTAATTGCGAAGCTCTGGCCAACCTAATCCATCTATTCTCCCGATCTAAGTAAGGGGGATTGGAAAGATATGTGTAGAGTTTTATTAAATCTTTAAGGGGAAATAAAATCATTTAAGATAAATGGCGAAACTCGAAAATTTGGAATCTTAATTATTTGATTTGGCACTTAGAATGCTAAACGTTTAATCTTAAATACGCTCAAAGCTAAAAATGGACATAACTAGTAAATTTACTTCTCGTGAAAGGAGGATATTATTATTCTCCTAGAAAAGGATAAGGTTATAATTGATTGTAACAGTGAAGTGTGTTAGGATTAATATATATTAACGGGTTTTATTGCATTTAAATAAATATATTATTCGTTACACTATAAGATGTTACAAGACTTAAAATTCAATTTTAATATCTGGTCCAATAATTTTTTTTTACTGATTATGGGCATTCTAAGTTTTTTGACTTAAATTGTTTATTCGGGTCATATCTAAAATAACGTTTTAAAAAAGTTCATGAATTTATAATAACTAGTAATATTGTTATATTTAATGAAAAAAAGATCTTTTGACAAAACGTTACAATCCATCAAAGATAATGCACTTTTTGATAAGATAAAGTTAAGTAGCGCCGGGCTAGTGTACGCTCATTTTGGCGAAAAAGTGATTCGTGAATCCTTAAAACGTTGCTCGAGTAGCCATTCGACGACCAATTTGAACGAGAGTCTTATTAGTTATATTTACCTGAAGGTTTACGAAAATTTCATTCAAGAAATCGATGCCATCGATAATGGGATCGATGTTACCGAAACTAACGAAATTAAAAAGTAGAATGTTTATTATTATTATATAAAATAGTTGAAAAAAAGAAGAAAATTTATTAAAATCTATAATTTTTTTTAATAACAAGGTACAAGATATCGACAAATCTTAGTTCACGAGTTTCTCATTTAAATCCAGCTTGGAACGATTTAACCACTCCTGCAGACGTAATTCCAATTTAACAAATTGTATTTTTATTATTGCAGGGATCTAACTCCACTAAAATAAAATTTATATTGTAAACGAGATTTTTAAAAGAGCCAGAACTATATCTTATTACATAAAAGATATATTTGGAATCTAAATTTCAGCTCAATTTTCAACAAAGGTGGAGTTAGAACCAAACCATATAATAGATGTATTTTTTAAGAATGTAATTTTTTGTAAATCTGAACTCAAATTTGTAATAACTAAAAAAGCATTTTATTATTAAAAAAATAAAACTATTCATAAAAATTCTCTGTTTTCAGTAATTATTCAATTATAAACCTCAGTTATATTTAACGAAAATATAATAAAACTATAAGGTTGATAATCTTTAAAATATTTTATGTTAATACATAACATCTATCCTTAACCTGAATGGTTTGGTCCTTACTCTCAAGGGGTATTGCTACTCATCTCTACTTCAGTTCCTGACTCCGCTATTTTTGACAGGTTGTTGACGTTTTCCTTTTTCTCACTCTCCTTTGTGCTCATCTCTGTTCTCTTCATTTAAGATATCTTAGTTCACTCATCTAAGTCTTCGTTTAATATATCGTCGGTTCTTTTCCATAATTGAACCATATGTCGTATTACCGTTTTCCCTTTTACTTCATATTATAAAGGTCCTAATACTCTCATAATAATTGATTTAATCATTAATAATATTTTTGGTGGAATTTGTTTATTTTCTGCTCGAGGTGTATTTCGATGGTTTTTAGTGTACCTTGGTTCATGCTATGCTTATATGTTCTATTTGTTCCCGCATACCTTTGGTTTGTAGATGATATGGACTTACATGAACTAATTGAATTCAATTCATTTCCAAATTGAATTCTTTACTACTGAATTGTGGCCCATTATCGGAAGCTATTATCTTTGGAATTTATAAACTGGCAAGATATTTATTAATACTTTAATCGTGCTTTCGATGCTTGTATTATTCTTTGGGAATATTTATTACCAGCGATTGCTAGCAACTATCACTACTAACCAATAATGATATTGAAATGGTCTAGCATAATCAATATGCAATCGGTGTCATGCCATCGGTGGTTTTGACCAAATTGACATCCTTGACGGCATATCGTGCTGTTCCTGGGCTCATTGTTTTTTGGCTATCCGTCTATGATATACTTGTATACTTTAGTGCGTAACTTATCCTGAATTGTCTTTCAATTTCATTGGTACCCAATGTGTTCGTTCCCCCATTTGTATTAAGTCTAAATTTTGGTATTTTGTAATTGTATTTCCCTTGTATTAATAATCGAGATAACATATTTGTATTCGCTATTTTTCTGCTACTTTAAAATTAAATTCGTATTAATAACCTGTCAACAATAAAGCCCATTTATTTTGGCAGTGGATATTGTCCCTATATCTTTCCTTGGATGAAATAAACTCATTAAGAGCTTGTGGTCTGTTTATGGAGTTTTTTAGATATATAAATCCATTAAATTTTGTAACCCCAAATATAATGGCGAGAGCTTCTCTTTCTATTTGGCCTTAATTCTTTCCTGCAGATTTTAACGTTCTTAATGCGAATAAAATTGGTTTCTCCTTCCTTCCTTCTATATGCGAAATTACCGATCAGATTCTTATGACTGAAGCATCTATTGCTAATATAATTGGTAAATTAGAATCATAATGTTTTAGCGCATTACTTGCTTTATTTCTTCATATGTGTCGAATTCTTTTGTCCATCTCCAATATACTTGTTTTTCTAATAGTTTGCACGATGGCTTGGCCATATCTGCAAAATTTGCTATGAATTTTGAATGGTATGTCGCCGAACTTAAAAAAGGCTCTATGTTTTATGCTTGTTGGTTTTGGAGCTTTTTAATCGTATCAATATTTTTTGATGTTGTAATACCATTTTTTGATATATTATGTCCCAATATTCTATATTTTGTTATAAAAATTTGATATCATTTTTATCCAAACATTTTAGTACTTTTTAAATTTAATTTGATGTTTCTATCTATTTTTCCCTCTTATTATAACTCATCTAAATGGAATACTCTCGAGCTCTTTAATAAAGTATCGATTGCCTGTTGAAATATTGCAGGAGAGGACGATTGTCAAATGGTAGACTGATATACTTAAAAATTCCTCTATGTGTATTAATTACTAGATATTTTTGTGAATCTTTCACCATTTTAATTTGAAAATATGCATCGGAGAGGTCCAATATTGAAAATTCCTCTCCTTTTCGCAAATTGGCTATTAAAACTTGGATTCATGGTATTGGATACGAATCAATATTGATATTTTGATTTATAGTTTATTTAAAATCACCACGAAATTGTAATTTCTTGTCTTTCTTTTATAAAATCACTATGGGTGAGGCATGAAGTTAATGATTAATTTTTCATATTATTCGTATTTGTAACAATCTGTTCTCGTTTTTCATATATAATTATGCCTTATTTTAAACACCCCAATTCTTTTGTAAATAGTCGAGACAATTCATTTTGTGTTTAATATAAAATATTTTTATTGCCCTTTTTGGTATTTCTGCCATCTTTGTTAATTTCACTAACCAATTTCAAGGATATGTAACGTTCGTCCTTCAGTATTTTTACTCTAGTATGACCTAGTATTAATATATTGGTATCTGTATCGTTTTTAAGTTTTTGCATGCAAGTTGTTAGTCCAGGCCGATTAAGTTTGTATTTCCGATCTATTTATTATGCTTACTCCAGCTCCAGTGTCTAATTGTCATTTATTTTTATATCTACCTAAAATTCTGACAATAGTTTTCTGTATTATCAATAAAGTTGTATTGTAACATGTTGCATTCTTGAACACCCTATTTTCTCTTCTATGATATCCCCCATAGGAATGACATGGATTTGTTTTTTTTTACATTATCCAGAGAAAATTTTGACAATAATAAAGTGATTCAAACATCTACCGCCTTAGAAACAGTTACCAAAAATATACAATTAATAAAAAAAATAATCAATCAATAATGAATATGATAATATAAATCTGATAAAAAAGGTTAAAGATAATAATAATAATAAACTAAAATAATATAGAAACTGTAACAGTAATTAATACAAATGATAAATTCTATAAAAAGCAAATCCATGCCATTCCTACGGAAAAGAATAAGTTAATATTATTGGTAATTTTACAAACAATTATAATTCAGAACTTTGGGTAGATATAAAAATATATTTTATATAAAAATCTATTTCATTAAGGTATTCAAATTATGATTATCTAATATATTTAACGAAAATACAATAAAATAAGGTTAATAATCTTAAAATACATAACAAATATAATAAGTGGCTGAATGCTATTTAAAATTGATATTAAAATAAAATATTTTGATCTATTTATCAGAGGCGTAACGCAAAATCCTGTGTCCTTCGCAAATCAATTTTTAATGGGCCTTCCCATAATTTGAGGCCTGAGACTCGTATATCTCTGAAAATTTGGCTCGGGCCCTCTCTCGCCACGTGAATCACTGGATTGTTTGTTACGTTTCTGCTATTTAGGGTTATTACAATTATATTTAAAAGTATAAAAAAATAATTGTAATCTTATAAATTTGTGACTTATAATTCTAATTTACAACCAAAAATAAATGAATAGGCACAATTTCAAAAAGCAATAAATTTGGTTGGTCCGGAGTTTGATGAAAGGATTCATTTTTACGCAAATGTTATGTGGCCAGCCAGAGAAATTGTCAAAAAAGCTATAGAGGATCGATTTAAAGTAGACTTCCATAATGAACATATTTTTTTTTGTTTAATAAAAAATAATAATTAACACATTGTTACTTGATTATTATTAGGGAGATAAGATCAAACGTCTGTCCCGTTCTTTCTTTTTTTAGGACGAGACCCTATATAAGACGCCCACCGTCCGTTCCGTTCTTTTGTAAATCGGATACTTTCCGATTCCTATATTATCTATTTTTTTTAAGACTCATCTTATTTATATTAAACATTTTTATTGATTTTTGTGTATATGATACTATATATTTAAATTTATTAATTAATTTTAAAGAAAATAATATCCAGCAATTATTTTTCATTTAAAAATATTGTTTTCCAATGTATAAAAAAGAAATCAAATAAATAGGAACTATCTTGCTTATAATCGCTGAATATTTGTAGAATCTTAATAAAAATATGAAAATTGTAATTAAAAATAATAGAATCTATCATTTACATACAATTTATAATTCATTTAGACCAAATATGCAAAAAAACTTACAACTCAATATTAAAATATATAAAAATTAATTATCACAAACAATACTTCAATTCCCCTCCCATTCTACGGGTAGCCACTACCCTATCTTGCATCACTGATAATCCTCACTAGTCTAATGGGCTACTACACCCCCCCCCCCCCATTTTTCATTCTATTGATCAATCTATTCTAATTTCTATTTTTATTATTTTGTTTCCTATTCTTATATAAGACGTCATCCATTTTCAAAGAATCGGAAGATTTATTCTCTAAAGGTTCATCAATCTTTAATTTATTCTTTAAATCACCAAAAGTCATAATAACTTGGACCATTTTATTTTAGAAGCCATTACACCTTCAGTAATCTAGTCAGGGTGCCTTGGAAAACTTTTCCCTCATGCCACAGAGGTAGCTTGTGGACAGAGTTGTTATATAAGATACTTTTTATTGAACAAGGGGAAACGTTCAATTTGTCTGGTAAGTCAGAGATTGATTGGAATTAGTAGTAATTTAAAAATAAGAGAAAATATCATCTTTATTTAGCGTATTTATCAAGAATGAATCAAAATGAATAAATTTATCTGTGTATTACATCAAAAAATATGACTCTTTTTATACATAGTAAATCAATTTTTTCCAATCACGTTATGCAATTAACAACCTTTAATATATTATTACAATCTAAATATATCTTCTTTTCGCCATAAGTGAAACATTTGTCAAAAAGTAATATTAAACGTAAATGTAATTGAAAACACCACTTTAAATACATAATGTAAATTGTATCATAAAACACTTTTCAAATAAATCTAAATACAGACACATCTTTTAAAAATGGATCTAGATACAGATAAATTTTCTAAAATTGATACAGATACCTCGTTAAAATATGTATGAGTATTTACATAAGACTTCTGCGTCAAATCCTTAATTAACCGTGGCGGTCTTTTAATTTTTTTATCGTCGTTCAGCGGCGCGCCGATTTCGCCTCCGCTTAATTAAATTGTCGGCGGTCGCGGTGCGCTATTTATTTAGAAATTTTTTAAATGAATTAGTATTACATTTTTTTATTATTCTAACACATTGTTAAAGTATAATTCATTTCTTAAATTATTTCCTGTCCCACTCCTATTTAAATTTATGCATTTTCTCATTCTCAGAAAAAGAGTAAGGAATTGCAATTTTCTCAGATCAGAGTCACATGTTCTATTGATTTTTATTAAAACAAATGATAATAGCAAAAATTAGAAATCTGATTTAGTAAAAATATAATTGTCAGTAATAAATAGTATTTTAACAAGATTTATGGACATAAAGAAGCCCATTTTTTCATCGAGTATTAATCCAGCTATGGGAGAATTTTTTTCACTGGATGTACTGGTTGCAGGCATACAAATAACCTTCCTAGCTAAATTAGCAACCAGTCGCTTTTTTCCAAAAAGTTAGTTCAACCTCTTCTGGTATACTATGTTGGCTGAGCAAAGGATGCCATTCTTGTTATAGCTTGCTAATGTTGTTATAATCGTTGTCTGGAAGGGAATGTTTACGAGCTATTTAAGCTATATAGGAACTTTTGCTCATTATCTTCAACTTGAATCTCACTCGGTGCATTTCTATCATGCTCTAAAAGTTTTAAATGTCTAATTAAAATTGTAATGATCTTGTAGAATTCAAATTTAAATATTCTGAAATAATTTTAAGATTTTAAAATTGCCAATATATCTAATGTTTAAAATATAATTTTATTTATAAAAATATAAAATAAATTACTTGAAGTTCGATAATTAGAATGGTCAAGCTTTTTTCATATTTTCTTTTAAGCAAAAGATATCTGAGCATCAAATATATTGATTTGTATATGTGTATTTCATTGCAAAATAATAACCCAAAATTTATTCTTAATCCCTTTTAGTTGGAAAGAAATTCCACCGACTCTCTGAATTGATCTAATAATGTGTAAAGTTTATCAATTATACCCCACTCGTTATTAAAAAGTTTTAAGGATCGTTTTCTTATTTTATTTAGAACATATAGGTAACACTACAGATACTTTCTAGAATAATTAATATGCGGTGACAACTGGTAGGGCAATTTAATTTTTAAAGTTTTCATATCAATTAGATCTGTTGGTGCAATGCAATTTAAATTATCAGCGGCACCAGATATACCAAAATGTTCATCAAGGTATAGATCAGATTCTTCAATATCCTGGCCTGCCTCATAAATTGATTGCAGGCATTTACAATGCTCAAACTCAATTTCATATTCCAAATCAATAACTCGATATCTAAGGCTGAAATTATTTCTCTAATTTTTTAATTAGAATATTAATTCTGGCAACTTTTTTATGTCATCAACTCTAACTAAATTATGAAGTCCATGCCCTAAACATAAATGATGCTCATAATCCCTAAATCTGACGCTTCTTTTGATATTTGACCCAGAATAAGTTATCATCTGTATTATTATGTTTTTTTAAATGAAGTTCCTCTTTCATACGATCGATCTCAGATAATATGGTTTCATCAGCATGTTTTTACGTCACGTTTCTAGTTGTCAGGGTAAAATATTTTAAATCAAAATTTTCATTTAAATGATGAAGACTAAATGTGACATAATTTCGATGCTTGAAATAATCTGTGCATAAATAAAAAGTGATTGAACACTATTTTAGGCTAGAATCAATCAGATTTAAAACATTTGCCTTTATAGATGAATATAAATCATTCAGTGCACCCATAATGGTTGTCTTATCAGGTAAGTTTGACGATAAATCAATTATCTTATATTTCAATTTTTTAGACAATTTATTGATAATTCAAACAATTTAATACTTTAACAAAATTCGAATTTTTTAAATTAAACTTGTTATATAACGAGAAAACAAAAGTAACAGAAACATACGCCTTTGAAGAAAGGTCTAAGCCCCCCCCCTCCTGGGACTGGCGTTTAACCTATAATTATAGAATTTTATTATACCCTGTAATCAATTTTATAGTTTTCAGTAAAAGAAATGGATTTACAATACTATAATAATTAAACGACAATGTTTTATTTAAAGCTTAAACAAAAAAATACAGTGTGAGATATTATTTTTTGTCAATTTATAGGTCTACGAAAGCGGCGAAATATTAGTTTTGGACATTTCGGTTCCATGGCAAGACACATTGTATGAAATCGAAAAGGAACAAAAAATATACCCTCTCATAAAATTTGTAGTATTTGGAACTCGAACCAGCCCTAATATTACCGGAGATAGGGGAGAAGACTGGAGAGTTCAGTGTGTTTCTACTCAACCAGGCTCGTTTCATAACAGGTCTAATTTTTATGATATAAATAATTAAAATCCGGAATTTTAATTGTTTTATTCAGATAAAATCTAATTAAAGTTTAACATATTTATTTTGAATTAAATGAAAAATAACGAATGATTACTAGGTAATTATGCACAATTTTTATGCTATTCTTACAAATAGTTTGGGTTACGCTTTACTATTTACTATGTTTATTCATTTATGGTATTAATATTATAGTCGGTTTCAATGAACAAGTAAATAATATTTTTTCAATTGTTCAAAATATAATGCCAATGGAATTACATCAATTGTAAAAGCTAATTTTAGGTAAATGGCCTTGCTACAACAGCCTAATGCTATTAACATTATAATTAATTTCTCATAAATGGTAAAAACAGCTTCCTTTTTTTTTTTTCAAAATTAAGCTGAACTGAGGAGACATTTCTATTAAAGCTCAACTAGAGATATACATGTAATCCCAAACAAATAGGAGGCCAGAAAACTTAGATATTAGACTGGTTTCATCGGGTCCTTTTTTGTTGCTTCAACATAAATGATTTGGCTCTAAGAGTATTTGGAATATATACCTCTTTTTTACCGTTTTTGAAATAGGGTTTATATTTTTGGCCTGGGGCCCAGGCGTTCGTAATTTTTAAGGTATAACCCTGGTTCGCGGCATTTTTAAATTGAATTAGTAAACATACTGTATATATCTCAAACTCAAAATATATTTTTTTCGCTATCAATTTTATGTATTACATTTAAAAATATTAAGCAATAACTTTAAAAATTAAATGATGTTTATTTATTTTATTTGTTACAAAATATGATATGATATGAATTTAAAATATTTCTAAAAAAAAATTTCCTATTTTGTAAAATTCATTCTGTAAGTGTGATATTTAATCAAACAAAAAGGAAGAATAGGAAGGATATTTAATTTTTTTCGGGCTGTAAACCGGCCCTGTCAATTTATATGCCTTGGAATGTAACCCGTTTATAAAGATAAATTATAGTATAGCTTAGAATTTGAAGAATAGCAATACAAATTAAAAGTAGTAACATATCTCATCGAAAATATAAGTGTAGTAATATATAATTCTCGCTTACTAAAGCCCAGTTGCTGATCATTTATAGCAGGATTTTAATTTGGTAAAATTTGGTCAGGCGAAATTGTTCCACCGAAGCTCTCGATGACAGGTAATCAACGATGGGTATGTTGATCTTTCGAGGCCTTATTGGCTACTGGCGTAAGTTTGAAGATTATCTCGTTACTTGTTCTAATTATAAAATTCAACAGCAATCTTTAAATGGAATCATGGTAGAGTAATCTGTTAAAATAGTAAAAAATTTATATTTTAGATATGTGCCCTGTTACGTTATAAAGTAGTTATTATTATTTTTTCTATAACGTTTAATCGAAAGATAGAGTTTTATTTTTAAAATCTACCAACGTTATAAAGTAGTTATTATTATTTTTTCTATAACGTTTATTCGAAAGATAGAGTTTTATTTTTAAAATCTACCATTATGAATATATCTTCTTCTCCGTTTAATGGCGATTTCTATTTGTCCAGTTTCCACTCTGTTTTTCTTTTCAATTTTTGACTCTCCTGCTGAGCATCAATATTTGTAAGATTCATTTTTCTCATTTCCGTCGCTATCACCTTTATCCACATCAACTTGGGTCTTTCTCTAGGTCTTTATTCTCCTACTTCCACCAAGATGCATCTCTTTACCCAGGCATCTTTTGTCTAAAGTTCCACATGCCCAAACCATCTTATATTTTTTCGCATTACCACCACTCCAATCACTTCTATTCCCATTCTTGCTCGCAATTCCTTGCTAGTTTTTCTTTTTCACAGAGATACTCCTCACATCCATTTAATCATCCATATCTCCATTCTTTTCAATTTAGCTTCGTGGGCCGCTTTCATTCCCCATGTTTCGCCGCCATAAACTAAACAACTCCTCACACAGCTTACGTTTTCCCCTTTAGCTACGGAGAGACCTTTTTATTGGTTAGAATAGACGACATCTCTCTGAATTTCTTCCATATTTGTCTGATCCTTGCAACAACAGCAGAATTTACACTACTCTGTGTTTAGCATATTACCCAAATAGCAAAACTTTTCTACTTTTCCCAGGGTCATTGTCAATATCCAAACCACCGTTCTACTTTATTCTTTTATCCACATTCGTCATTGTAGCGATTTCTGGCATCATTGGCGCATTGGATTGAATTTCTAGTAAATCCTTCCCACATACACCACAAGGCCTGTTGCCGGATTCCTTCATCTTCATATTATCCCAACCAATCATCACCTTTGTCTTTAATGCATTCATTTTCAGACCCTTTGTTCCCATAGCCATCTTCCATCTACTACCTCACTGTTTGACATTAATACAATGTCATCTGCATATAATAGCTCCCATGAAAGTTCTTCACGCATCTCTTTAGATACCACAAGATAAATCTCAGGACGAATCCCCGAGTCCTACCTTCACTTCAAAGCTTTCACTATCTATCATCCGTCCGTACCTAAGTTTGTGCTCCCACATAAGTCTTGATGTCACCCTCCAATAGAATTTCCTAAGATGCATCTTTCTCTTCTTCACTTCTTCCAACCTGATGAACATATGCCAAAATAATATTGCATAGCTTTCTACCAAAAATAATGTTGATGATCATCTGGTTATCTAGTCTTCTCACTTCGACTACCCCCCCCCCTTCCCCATTCTCTGCCACAAATACGCCAATGTCTGCCTTGTCATCATTACTTCCTTGCCAGCACTTGTCCTGCCAATTATTCTTGTGCCATTACCTTTCCATCTGGTCTCTTGTGGCAACACACATCTATATGCCTTCTATGCAGTGCATCGACTACTTTTCCCGTTCTTCCCATCATGCTCCCAACATTCCATGTCATAATTCTTACCCTATCCCCCGTAAACTGGTTTCTCCACTTATCGGGTCGTCTATGGCCGTCATATGTTTCATTTTCACGAATGTGGTTCCACCAGGTTTCCCCTCTTTTTATCGTAGTCGGATAAGGAGTTTCACGGGGTACCTTGGGTTGTACCCCGCCAAGGCTTTGTTATAATTATTAGGAATTTTGGAGCAGGATTTTTACAATCGGATGCCCTTTATGACATCAACCCCTTTAGGTGGTTTTTACATTAGGTCTAGGAGGGGGTGATCCTATTCTAGATCTAGCACAGGGAACCTTTTAAACCTCCATTAACAGAAAAGGTTGCCATTACCCGCCACGATGAGGCTGAAGGTAGGGTATAAATATGTATACAAGTAAATGGACATTGATGTGCAAATAAGGGTTGTCTATAAATATTTATTTAGAGTTCAATCTCTTTCAAATTTCTTATAAATATTATGCCATAGTTATGATATCGTCCGCTATGCATTGATGTTTTAAATCCAATTTTTCCCACTTTACAGGAGAGCTTTTTTTCAATTTTCAATAATTAAAAAAATTTTTCTGGCCGATATAATTTGCAATAGAATTTAACAAAAAATTATTTTAAATTGGATAAATGAAAAATAATCGAATTCCCAACATAGTTTTGGATATAGGTATCGTTAATGATAATTAACTAAATAGGTTCCCTTGGAAGTTTACTATACTATAACAAGGTTTTGTTTTACTGTATTTGTAAAAGAAGGGGAAACAATAATTTAAGGTCCGTTTTGGTCTGAGTCCCAAAAAATTTGTCAAATTGCGCCCTACCTCATTGGAGTTTTCCTCACACATCTATTAAGAATTCCAGGATATAGATTGTATCTATATGTTAAAATTAATTTTCTGAGCCAATTAGGACAGGAATATTAAAACCCGAGATTTTTTTTAGCCAATAAATATAATAAATTTTGCAAATTTTTTTATGTCTAAAATATAAATACTTCTTAATTTATAATTTATATTTATTTAAAATTCTTTTTTATTTCATGGGAACTTATCTCAAGAATTTATTATACAATTTTATATTTTCATGTATTATGTTATTATCTTAAATAATTTTTTAATAAACTTAAATAGATGGTGCTAGATATATTGATAATAATTATGATCCATATTTTATCTAAGGCATTCATTGGTGAAATTTATCAAAGTTTGATATTATTTGGCTGTAGAATTCTTAAATATGCTATAATAATAACTTTTTAGCTAATATTTTTACATCTAATTCTATATATAAACGGAAGAGACTCATACTGTAATGTTGGATATAAGTTTATATACCACTAAAATCTAATAAAAAACCATAAAATCTTGTATCTAATTCCCAAATAATATAAATTGAACAGCAATTAATTTTTATTCATTCAATACTCAATTGATATATATTTTATAATAAAAAATTTATTTTAATAAAACGGTAAAAAGTAAAATAATAGTAAAAACAATTAATCTTATGCAAGGCTAAAACTAAACTTATAAATAAACAATTTATATTTAAAAAGCAAAACTAAATGTATATTTTTAAACACAACACATTTCTACACTTTAACTTTGATAACCCTGGGGGGTTCTTATTCGAGAGGGATATAGTTTTCCAGCGGTTCTATCTCCACCTTCGGTGTTATGTCGGGCCAAGGTTCTGCGGTCGTGAGCGTTGCGGCTATCGGGTGAGGGGTTCATTATGGTTCGCTTCCTTTTGAGTTGTGCTTTCTATAATAGGTTTTTTAAATTAATTCCTTCTTTACCGAATCTGCAGGTTTTGTTATTTCAAATATAGTATCCATGTTGTTATCGACTCTGGTGTTAAGGGATCTGAAAGTTTTCCCCATAATCCCTTTTCTCCTTTTACTAGATATGACATCGGACCGATCTGTTTATTTTCTTGGACTGGAATCCACCATAATTTTCCCTGAAAATCTCGGGCCCATACTTTCTTGATTCTCAAATCTTTATATATTTTCCACATAATCTCCTTCCTTTTCTCTGTATTGTGGTTTAAGTTTATTTAACGGGCCTTATGGTACAAATTTTAGCATATGTGATGCAGGTGGAAATTTGGTGAATAGTATACGAAGTATTTCTGTAGTCGAATAAAAATTTATCAATTTATTCCTTCGAGTTATGGATTTTTTTAAGAAATTTTTTAAACGTTTGTACAAATCTCTTGGCCTCCCCATTCTATTCGGTGATATGACAATATTAAAATATGTTTGATAAGTAAGTTTTTGTAAAATTCTTTAAATATTTTTTCCTGAAATGGTGGTCCGTTATTGGTCACAATATATCTTGAGTCTCATAATCTTCCAAATAATTTGTTTATGTATTATATGTTTTCGGTACTATTGATTGAACTGACTAACTTTATTTCTGGCCATTTGCTATAATAATTATTAAAAATAATTATCATTGAAACTGTCCTGCAAAATCTAAATGTAGTCGTGCCCATTATCTTCCTTAATTAGACTATCAGTTTTGAAAATTTATAATTTTAACATATGCTAAATTTTTCAACAAATATTTAAATATCATTGTTTACTGTTTGCCACCAAATATTTTTTAAAGCAAGTGTAAAAAGTGAAATACTGATTTTTGTAATAATTATGGCATGATCACTCGTAAACCTCAAGACACACTTTCTCATTGATAATTTCATCTTTTTTAAATAAATTTTTATATATTTTCATCTATTCTCTTAGGCCAACCATCGGTTGCATATATCTGGCTACTTTTGACAAAGTTGGATCACTTGCGGTTTCTTTTTAAACTTGTAATATGATATAGCTTTTAATTGCCACATTGTTGATGCCTGGAAATTGTTCCCATTCACTTACTTGTTCGTCGTATAATGGTAATCTCTATAGCGTGTAGCAATTTCCGTGTTTCTTTGTTCCTCTTATAACGAGTAATTAAAATTAGCTAAAATTAATGTCCATATGATTAACCTGGAAGACATGTCACTCGTGTTTAATATGGGATATAATAAAAATATTGAGCCGTATTAAAATATTTTTGAAATTCTTCTCTTTCAGATTATAACTATAAATGGGAATAATAAATGATATGGTTGAGAACAGTTTTTTAGGCTAATTTGAGTTGCTGACATCTTCAAATAATTTCTGATACTTATTCATCAAAACTGATTATTACTCATCTATTAAAAGATTTAAACCGGTTTACAAGCCTTTTTTAGAGGGATCGGATATCAAATTTTTTTAACGGCTCGATTTAGATTCTATCAATAATAGCGGTTAATAACGGTTCAGGTTTGGTTTGGATGCATGATTCCAAATAATCACGGTGCATACACCAAGTGATAATTATTGCCATAAGTATTTTTTTGATTTTCCCCGCAATCATTTTAACATCCTCATTTGTGACTCTCACTAAACAATGCCTTGCTCTTATTAGCTTAGCCCAACATTCTATTCCATCCGCATATACCATTTTATCCCCCCTAATATTAAACAACTTTAATATTGTTTTTAATTTAGGAAAGCTTAAAATTTAGTGTGACGCAAAATAACTCTTAGTTTTTTTTAGTTTTTCTCTGTTAATAGATTATTTGACAGATTATTAAAATATGAACGATTTAGTGTCTTTCAATTTCATTAAACATATTGATTGAATATAAATTTCCCCAGCGATAATAATCAAAATGTTAAAATTTACTATTAATATTCGACTATTTTACAAATTGTATACTAATATAAATTATATATTCATGTAAATAACGAGAAATAAATTTATCAAGGTTAATCCCTCGCGGATTCGTGTTTAGTTAAGGTGTTAACTGATTTAATACAAAGTACGTGCTTATTTCGTATTTGATACTTGATAAATTATTTATAAGGGATTTTAACCCCTAAACGAAGAATAGATAGATGTTAAATAAAAATTTCTTACGCTTAAAAATAAACGACCTTATTCCTTCATGGAGAATATGATATATATAATCTAAAATTTATTGATCTCTTAATGAAATTATACAGTGCTGTTTTGGTAGTTAAAGATTCTAACCTTTAGAACACATTTTATTGAAATATTAACCACGAAACGTTATAAAACGATAGATACAAATTAAAAAAATATTTATTGAACAGTAACATACTTCTCTTTTTTTTTTACTAACGCTTGAAAATACATCTTGCCTTCATATGATTTATTCTATCAAAAAACATCACCTCCTTTATACCCGTAGATCACATTAGCAAGCCCGTCTATTATTCAAGTATTTTCTCTATCTACCAATACTAAAATTTGTTCTTATTTCTTCCCTCCTTTCTCCTGCTGAAATGAATAAATCCTTCATCAAAATCATCTTCTCTACTCCCTTTCCATCTTATCCTCGAGAGGGTAGATATGTTACTTAAGTGTAATCAGTTAAATTAATATTTTTTGGTATTGGCTAAAATGGTGGTCGATTTATCTCTGATTTTAAAATAATTTAGGAGGTGGCTATACATCACCATTCTCCTATTAATTTATAATATATACAAAATTAAGCCACTTTTTAAAATAGCATATATCTAGTTCAGTAATATTGACTGGCTGTTAATACAAAGGTCGGTTCGTATCCCTATTGGCGTAATTCTTTTATGGTGTTTTTTGCATGATTAATTGAAAACACAGATAATATCTAAAGAGCATATTATATCACGAGACATTATGGTGCGGGGTAGCCACGGATATTACAAAATGAACTACATTAATATTTTTAATAAAATATATTGGATTAAATATTAAGTTTTATAGAAACGGATCCTTTAACTAATATTTTTGAAAAATACTGGGAAATATTGTATATTTTATTGTTCTTATGCTATAAAATATATTTTTTATAAATGTTATGTCTAAGCCCCATTTTTTAAAATTTATGCTAAAATATTTTGGGACTAAGATTTTGGAAAAGAAAGCTGGAAAATATAGAACTATTCTACAAATCCTCACTAAAAAAGTGAGAACATTTATTTTAAATTTATCTTAATAGCAATTAACAGGGTTTATCTCAATAGCCTACTATGCATAATATAATTTCAAAAGAGGGACCTACCATTTCTGTCAAATGGAAATATGAATTACTTATAATTGTAATTATATTATAATTTATACAAACAAATGTTATATAAAAAATTCGATGATAAATTTAACTTTCCTTTAGAATGTCACGATTTCAATATTTAAGGCATTGTTTTTAAATTATGATTTATTTGTGTTAGTATGCTCAAAGCTAAAAAAAATCCTTACATTGTTCAAATTAATTATCATGAACTTAATTTTTTTTTAAAAAATTGTACTCATTTATCGAATAAAATAAATGGAACTATCATGACTGAGAAAAAACCATTAGCATAGAGGTATCGAGGGCGAAGCCTCTCCAAAATCCTCTTCCCTTGGGAAAATCCTGGGTACGCATATGGCGCTAAAATTATGTTATTCATAAATCTTATTTTGGCTTAATTTTTTTAATAAAAGTCAACCCCATAAGGTTGATTCAAATATTTAGTCGAATAAAATAGATTTGTGATTTTGAACAAGAGGTTTGGAAACCCAATTTATTTTTGCCGAATTTAAGCTCAACTCAGTGTTTAAGTGTACTTTTTAATAAAGGTTTTTAAGGAAATGGAGTCGGAGTTTAGAGTTGAAAATGTATAATTACTTCAAAAGAAATCCACGAAAAATGAAAATTTAAATTTCTCTGTTCAAATTTATATTTTTTGAATGTAAAACCTTAAGAGAATAAAATCAAATCCACAAAAATATAACGGTATAAATTTCCCTATTTGCCCTGTTGGGAATGTATTATTATTTTTTTGAACCCGAACTTCTCATTTTATTTTTTATGGGTTCAGTTTCGGATTCAAAGAGAAATATTGTGAAAATTTCTAGGTTCATATTCCTCTTATACTCTATATTTTATTTGCTTAAATATAATTTTCTTTAAAATATGAAATGAAGGCTATCCTTGCCTCAAACATGGCGTGGTTTGAGGGGCATAGAATTATCAAAAATAAGTGGAATAGAAAATTGCGTTTTCGTTCATATGAGTGGATTTATAGGGGGAAACAAAACGAAAGAAGGTGCTATTGATATGGCCATTACAACTTTAATCGAAGATCACTCTCCATAAATATTCATGACCGTGGCTAAATATACAATATGAAAATTAATTAAAAATTATATTACGCACACATATTTTTATACTAATAAATACTTTTTATATTTTGTAAAATTAATAAAACAAGGATAGGATGATGTGAATGTTTGATTGTAATCTAATTTTTTTTTCTGTTACTTTTCTAAAAAATATTATAATCTCTTTTTACAACATTTTTTTTAGAATATGAAGAATTTTATTTTTATGGTAATCAGAATTAGATGTCCCAGTCTAGATGACACTGAACAAAAAAACCTCCGGGAAAATAGACACGACATAAAAATACCCCAATTTTTAAAACCACAAAAGCTTTATATTAGGGTTATTCAATATGAGAGGACTAATGGAAATATAATTATTTTGCTACCTAGAATTTGTATATAGTCTATAGAAGCCTGATGTAAGCTTGGGTTAGTAATTGGCATTATTATGTGGTAATTAGGTTGATATATTTTACCGAAACTAAACCTAAATTAGAAAGACCTAATATATGTTGTATACATGAGATGGAGGAGATGGTTAAAATAATCATTATTTTTTTCTTACTTTCATTTAAATAAAAAATAAGCTACAAAGGTCTAATATAGGTTTTAATATATCGTCGGTCGTGCTCTATATAAAATTGTTGATAGGGAAAACTCATTTAAAGTTTAGATTAAAATTATATATTAATATAAATAGAAAATTGAGATGTAATATATAATAGTACTTCAAAATAATAGCATAAATATGCGCAATTATTTATATATGTATTTAATATTATAGATGTCAATAAATAAAATATTTCATTCTATCTTAATTAGGCAATATTGTACTACATCCTAAAAGTAAAAATTATGAAAATAGCCCAAAAGTGTTAAATTTTTTAGACATTTAGAGTAATTATTTTTGTTTAGCGTCTTTATGTCCGTGATTTATTTTACTATAACCTTTTATATTATAAACAAATCATATTTTATGATAATGTTTTTGTCATATTTCATAGTATAATTTATTTAATTTACAATGTCATCGTATAAAAGGCTATTATAAAAGCTATGTTAAATGGAATAGTTACCACTATATTTTATATAGTGTAGTAGTATAAATCATTAATCAATCAATGTAAATATGGTAAATATTTTTATTTTTAATACTGCTATGTCTATTTTAAGATGTAAATTTCGTATATTTATTCTTATAAAATATGATCGTTTCATTGTAACAATTATTATGGTGACTGAGAAAAGATTTATTATTTTAATATACATATTTTTATATGAAATAAATAGGCCAAATACAATCGTATAAATAATCATTCCTTCCAACTTAGTTAAGTGTATTCAAAAACTAATTTAAAATACCTTATACATTTTTGTTATATTTATTTCAACAACATCGATACTAAAAATCTAATCTAATGACCTCATAAGTTACGTTTTTTGAGAAACCTAAAAATAATTTTTACTCTGATATATAAATCTTCTTCTCTCAGTCTAGGCATTTAAATGACATTTTTCGGACTGTTTCAAACAGGTACGTATGACATGCCCACTGACGTTTGAAGAGATGCTCATATTATTTACCACTTTTGGATTTTTTTTCTGAGGAAAATCTAGCTTAGTTCTGTTGATTGTCAACAGCATCTACATGACAAGATTTTCACTGGGTACAACTCCCTCAAAAACCTATACCTATCCCCCTAAAAAAATTCCCTAACCTTCGGCGGCGATGTTTTTCCATTATAAATTACACCTTTTTAATTATAATGGTACTTCTTTCATAAATTTTAAAAAGAATAACTTAAATTATTTAAATCCACTAAAACTATATTGTGAAAATAAAATAATTATTTTTAGATCACGAATTCAATTAAAAACCTCATTTACAAAGAATGCATTATTATATATTGTTTGGCATGAATATGAGTTTGCTGAGAATATCCAACCCTTTTAAATTACATTTAAAAGAATAAAAGTTTTATTTGGAAAATAATATCTATGATTGTTAGCAATATATAAATTTAGTCGATGATCAGCAATATCATTGCATTTAGTGGGTTTTTAATAAAAGTATTAATTTTTACAGCAATATAATTTGTCCTATTTCATCTAAAAATTTAATAAATAACCCCCTCAATAAATTTATCCTATCTCCTATCAACCCCTCAAGAAAAATCGAATAAGAGATGCATTTTAATAATTAAAAATCATGTAGGTCTAAATATGATCGTTTTCTGTGATAATAAAGAATTATGAATTTATTATCAAATTCAATTAGGAAAAAATATTAAATTTACAGATATTTTTTAGGCTCCTACATTAGATACCTACAGAGGGAGAGTTAGGAACATTTTGTCTTCATATATCAAATAGGGGATATATTTCTACTAAAGGGGATAGGAAGAGAGTGGGTGGGGGGGGGGGGGGGTAAGAAATAAATATTTCGATGCGCCGTCACAAAATTATTTTTTCCCTTGTGAATGCTGCGCAGATGTACCTCTTTAAGATCTTGGTTATATTTTTGGCTGTGATGTATAAATGATTTCAAATGGAAATTAAAAATATTACGGGTGTAGTTTTTTTAAACCTTTGACTCAGGCAAAGACTTTGTAAATCATACTATTTTACGAACTGAGTTCTCTGAAATTTATACATATATATCTTCTTAAAACTAAAGGTAATGAACTAAATAAACACAATATAATAAGCTAGTATACTTCCGCCATCCTGATTTCGAAAATTTTTTTTATTCAACATAGGGTATTATAGCTAGGTTATCAGCTCTTCTTATTTGAACGGCTTTTTGGTCTAATTATCATTAGGAGTATTTGGAGCTTCCATCTATAAGATTCCTAAATTTAAACAAAATTGGCAATTTAACCTTATCTTTTACTATTTTACCCCTACTCTATCATAGAATCGAGTGAGTAGTATGCAAATATAAATTGCTCTAGCGATTCTTCAATGTATTTAAATCGTGATTTTTATCCTTCCAGGTCAAGTTAATAGAATTAATAATTTATTTTTGTTTTGATATTTAATGTTTATTTTTTAAAAATAATCAGAAATTCAGGCCCTGCTTGATTTTTTTTATTAGGCCTTAGCCCGATATTGAAAATAAATTTCAAAAAGCAAGCATTGAATTGAAAAGTCTATAAAAATATAACATTTTCTCATTTTGGGGAAGTAGCATAGGCTCTAGAGGTTACCCTTCATATTATATTACAATGAAATGAATACGAATAATACAATTATTCGATTCGAAAATTTATTTATATTTTTTCTTTATCTTTAAAGAATCTTATGCTATAATTTAATATGAATAATTATTACTTATTTAGCAATAATTTTTATGACTTTAAATAAAAATTTAAATGCATAAAATTATTTATCCATTTTTATCAGTTTTACAAAAAAAAATACAAATTTAGCCGATATTTTGTCTTTTTTTTATTACTATTTTTTTCCTTTGAATATAAAATATATTTTAAGTTTGTCACAATATAAAACCATTTTATAACTGAATTTAGTTAAGCCCTGGTAGTGATTCCTAGATCTTATTTTAGAAAATTATTATATTGAATGTGATTCTAGTCTCAATTCTGCATTTTATTAATAAATATATACTGCTTAATATATAAAAATTGCAATTTATGACATAAATAAATTAAATATATGTTTATAAACTAAGTTTGCATGGTGGCAGGAAACACAAGACATAAAAAATAAATTCAGAAACTTACGAATGAATAATTTTTGTAAAAAAATTTTAATAACTTCTTTTTTTTTGTCAAAAACTCGTATAAAACTTTACCAAAGACGAAATATGGTTTTCGTTAGTTTCCACAAGGGAGATTATGTAATCTTTTTCTTAATTGTTTTTAAAAAATATTTATTTATTTTAAATTTTGGACACTTTTTGACCTATTACATATAAACTTTCCTTTAAAAAAAATTAAAGAGTTTCTCATAGGAATATGATTTTAAATTTATAACTTACGCAATTTGTGTCCTTCTTTATTAATATAAATAGGTTTTTTTATAAAGTTTACTGTTAACAAATTATTATCAACAAAGTTTGGCTTTTTAACTGAGGGCATTTGCATAATGTATTAGAATTATTACACATTATTTATTAAAACGATTAGCATAGATTAGAAATTAGTGAATAAGGAATAGTGGCTCGGGTTTCTCGATTTGGATCAAACCGTGGCAGTTTCATCTTTGAAATGGGTTCCATGTTCGGTTATTGCAATGGTCTTCGGTTCGGACGGGTAAATAAAATTGAATAATTTATTTTTAAAATAATATCCAGAAGTTTCAGAATCTATTCATGTTTTATTCATAAATCTTTTCGAAATTTTACCTGGCAAAATGTGCCGGATATATTTATCCTTTGCTAAAATTATTATTTTTGAAAGGAAATAAAGATGTGCTTACTATATAATATATATTAGTGATCTGCATCAGGCCTAATTTTTCAAGCCCAGCCCGGCCCGAAATTTTTTTTATAAAAGTTTTGCTAACCCGACTCGAACTCGAAATTTTTTTAAAAAAGTTTTGCCGGCACGGCCCGAACCCGAATTTTTTTTATAATTACTCAAAATAAAAGACATATGTTATATGTCGTTTAGTTTCAATAAATAAAATAAAATATTTTTATTTTACATAAAAAATTCAATATAAAATTGATAAATTTAGATATATTTAAAAAAATTTCCAGTGTCCGATCTGACTCGGCTTAAATTTTTTTTAAAAATATTAGACCCGGCCCGTACCCGATTATTTTAACGGGCTGGGCCGGACTCGGGCCGGGCCTAACTTTGCAGATCTCTAATATATTATATATATGAGTTTACATTTATAATATCTGTTTTGTCTTTTAATAGGAAATTCTTTACTTTATTAGGTGTTTGTTATTCATATTAATTTTACCCTAGCTAGAGATTATTTGAAATTTAAGCAACTTCAGTTATTCCGTTAAATGTATTTTTTAGAGCAAAAAAATATAAGTAGATTATCAATCAAAATGATACAATCAGCCATGTATATCGTGGGTAGTGTCGTTAAACCGCTAAGTTTGAGCCGATTTTTAAAAACGGATTACTCAATATTTTAGCTAGACAAAGCCCAAGATTTTGTTAATAGATGCCCAAACATTTGTGCCATCTATGAGTAAAATCTTTCGGTTTATGTAATATTTTTTTGAATAAAATAATAAGTTTTTAAAAATCTTCTCGAATCGAGCCGTTTAACAACACAACACTAATTGTGGGTCATGGCTCAAAAATGGAATATCTATTGAGAATTTTTTTTAGCCAAATCTTATTGAAGATTATATATTATTGTTACTACTATATGTTTTCACATTTTATTATTCCTAAATTTGCAATTAAATAAAAATTTTTATATTTTGTTATATAGATATTCAAAACCAAAGTATCGGCCCGTACTACGCTTCAATTTGGTCTCCATAAGCGATCCACAGTTCGGTTTAGTTTTTAAAATCGGTTCCTCAGTTCGGTAATCGGTTCCAAATCGAACAGTGACCTTCACTATTAGAGTCATATCCATAGGATATTTACTTTTTTTTTAATCATTAGTAACAAAAGTTGTAACTGACGCATGAAAATATACAATA